ATAATCTTAGGGGGGAATATTTCAATCTTACAAAAATGAGATAAAGATAGTAATATAACATACACTTTATACTCATGATCCCTTGATGGTACATACGATTTGTACTAGGCTGCTTACCAAAAGGTTGGTGGTTCAAACCCACCCAACACACTATGGAAGAAAGACTTAACAATCTGCTTCCGTTGAGATTTCAGCCAAGAAAACCCTATGGAGCTCACTTCTACTCTGTAACATGTGGGGTCACCATGAGTTGGATTGATATCTATGAATCTAGTTTTCTTTGTTGTTTGTTTGTTTTAGGTATTCACCAACCAGTTTTTACCTGTCTTGACATTAGACAAATGTATTTAATATCATACATATGCTTCAATTTATTTTGATAAGAATTTTTCCTCTTATTCCCAACATTTTGCCTCTGTTTTCTTTTTGCTTTCATTATCACCCTATATATTTTATTCTTTGCAATAAACTTAATTGCAAAGCAAAATGATAATAAAACTATCTACAGTAACAAAACTCTCACTCCCTCCCGTTGCTGTTCTCAGCCTATTCCAGTCCTCCCCAACCCCAATGTGTCTTCCTTCTTTCTTTATGTACAGACAGCAAATATGAATCCATGTTCTCCTCCTTCTTACATAAAAAGTTCTTGGTTTTGGATTTTGATTCTTTAACTTGGTAAAAATGGCATAACGCTAACCTAGGTTATACCCATGCATATCTTTGCAGAGTTAAATCAGAAATGCTGCTGCCTGAGACAGATGTTTTAATAAGCGTCCTCCAAAGCACATGCCAGGATACATTAAAAGAAAATTGATATCCTTCCACTTCTTGAAAAAGAAAAACATTTATACCTCATTGCTTGATAGTTACAATCTTCGTTATCTTCGTTCCTTTCGTAGAATAGCTGTTCCGATCCTTTCTTTGAGCACTGCATTCCATTCCAAAGTCAGAGATGTGAATGGGCTCCACCCTAAAATAGGTACTTGTTCTCAAGCAGAAAAGTTGATTTACAAATTTCCTCAGTTAAATGCCATGTCATATAATATCTCCCTTCCCTTTATCACTACCAAGCCACAAAGCCCTTGTGTAGGCCTGAGCGATCTTTCCCTACTGTGTCGGCTGACTCTTCTGCGTTGCCAGCCCAGAAGCCAGCATCAACTTAAAAGCATGGACATGGCCCCTAGGATAAAACTACTGTCACAGTGGACAGAGAACTTGAGGTGACTGAAGAAAGGAATACTCATTAATTTGTTGACTTCAAGTTGTGTCCCCTTTGAAAAACTGCCGGAAGGCCCAATCCTGAATTAAAATGCTGATTATAATATGCAAGCCATTAAACAGCCAAGAAATAAAAAGAGCTTAATCTAAGGATGGCTGATTTTATAGGACTTGGGGGCTATAAGCTCTAGCACCCTGCTGCTTGGGGCCATTCACGCCCAGTGGTAATTCTGTTTGATGAGTAATGGCTAAACTGTGGTATAATGTTATCAAAAAGCCTACCAATTCTGACAACAGCAACAATTCTCAAGGGGCCATTGTCCAGAAAATCTCTCTAATCCAGTGTCATAGTAAAATGTGTTTCCCCCTACTAAATAGATAATGAAATAGAAAATCAATATTTGACCACAGTTTATAAAGTGTTTTAAGTGAAAAAGCAGCTTAGTGACATTTTCAAATGCTTGAAAGTGGCTCTGAAATCACCTCCTGACGACATGTAACAATGCTAGCCTCAAATCATGAATTGTTAACAACTAGAAGTCTTTTTGTTCCTCAGAATTGAGCCCCAGAAAACACAGAGCAGATAACTAAACAAAAAGTAGTGGTGTAAAATGGCAAAGAATTAGGTAAATTTCAGCTCAGTTAAATCTTATAATTTGGCTTTACCAAAAAGGCTATCCTCTAGGATAGGACTGATTGAGCCAATTAAAAACAATAATAATTAATTATCTGTATTACAACTGCATTGTTTTTTCTTCAGTTACTTCCTTGGTTCCTACTTCTGAATTTTGTGGTTCTAAATTGTAGCTACACATCAGAATGACTCAGAATCTCATTCAGTAGGTACCATAGGTCTGGGTGAGGGCTGTACCCCATAATGATAACACATTTATCTCTCTGGACCCAGAATTATCTCTGCAGTTCCATGCATTACTGATGGGGGATCTTACAGAGTTCTTGGATGGGGCAAATGGCTTACACATTTGCTATCAACCCAAAGGTCAGAGATTCAAGTCCACCCACAGGCTCCTTGGGAGAAAGCCCTGGTGATTTACTTCCAACAGCTCAGCCATTTAAAACCCTGTGGAGCACAAGTCTATTCTACATCCATGGGGTTGCTGTGAATCAAAATAGGCTGCGTGGCAAGTTTCTAGGGATCTTATACAAAGCTCATTATCTCTTCTTATCAGCTTTCCCTCCTCCCTGCCTTCCTCATTCCCCTGGGATGTACTGCTGGTCTTAGTTCTCTCATAAAATATTGCTGCTCTTTTAAAATCAAGTACTATTGGTACATGATCACTATGTAGTCAGTAGTGTTCTGTATAGAGAAAGATTTACCCCAATGCCATGGCTCATGATTTTTCAATGAGTTTGCTTCATTGTTAATATCTAATTCTAAAATGGAGGAGCGGGTTTGGAGATCATCAAGTATTACGAGTAACTAAGTGTGGTCTAGCACTGTTGGTTTGTTTTGTTTTGTTTTTCTTTTTTTGGAGAGTTGATAGGCGTGGTTTTTCTCCTAACTGTTCTTATTATAATCTATGTCCCTTTTTCACCAAATGGGAGTTGTTAGAAGTACTTCTGAATTCTAAATAAGTACTTTTTTTTTTTCACCAGAGCCTTTTGTAATGAAAATTGGTTTGTGTGTGTGTGTGTGTTTTTGTAGTTGTTAGCCATTTCTGTAAGGTGGTTTCCTGCCCTTCTTTTCCCCATACCCTCTTTTGGGTATTGTGATGATAGTGTTGGTGTTTGGGGTTTTTCATCTCTATTGCAAGTATGCAACCTTTGCGATTAGTCATAATGTTGAGAGTGGGTACCAGGGAGAAAACCAGAGAAACGGAGTCTTCCTGTTTCACATACAGATGAAGGTAAATCAAGTGACATTTATCTGTTTGTTTTCCTGCGCTCTCATTTTTGGTCTACGAAGTTATGTTTCCATTTTCTGTGTTCCTAATTTATGCTGAGGTCATGAAACTCAGTATGATTTCAAAAATATTACCTGAGCTGGCTGTCACCAGTTTCACACATTGGCTTCCTGTTACTTGCGCTCTGCTTAAAACTAAGAGAGCTTCCTCCCTATGTCAGTTTTCACACAGCTAGAGCTCATTGGTTCAGGATCAGTTCCCCTAGAGAATGCTTTCCCAGGGGCATGGGAACTTTTTAAAAAAGACTTTTTAAACACTTGGCAGTGCAGGGCAAACACTCTGAGTTCCACCATCTCAGCCATTCCTGTTCAGTGCCTGCAACCGGGAGCTTCGCCTGGGTCCCTGAGGAGCCAC